CGCTCTCCCTGCCACTCCTCACAGCCCAGGAGCTCCTGCCCCACTCCCTCTCTCCTGCAGCTTCCCCTGTGTCAGTCACCACCTCCTCCAGGAAGCCCTCCCTCTGCCCTTCCCTGCCAAGTCAGGACCACGGCTCCAGGAGCAGCCCTGCGTCTCCGCCACCCCACCTCGGGGTAAAGTTGTCCGGGTGCAAGTCAGGCTCCCTTCCCAGACTGACAGCCACTGAGGGCAGGGCCCGGCTGGCAGTGGACAGAGCAGTGGAAGGCTGCCGGGCCAAGGCCGGATCACCTGGCCTCTCCTCCCCGTATCCTCTCCCCTGCTTTCGGGTCAGGCCCGGGAGGGCGCCCATGGTTAGTGTGGCCGGGGGCGCTGTTTACTCCCTGCAAGCTTCTCTGCGGAGTCCCTGGGGGAGCCTGACAGGGCTCACAGGGGGAGCCCGGGGAGTGGCGGTGGCCTGATCCCCTCCCCAGCCGAGGGCCACAGCAGGAAGGGTCTCCCAGCACTGTCGGGTCAGGACACAGCGCAGCAGTGCCCAGGTCATGGGGGCACGTGGCTGGGGTGGGACGTCCTCGCCTCCTGGGGCTCACCCTTCCTCGGGCCCTGGGCTGAAAGCAGGATGCTGGGAGAGCCCCCGCCGAGGCTGTAGTGGGGTGCGGGCCTGCGGGAGGCCACCCAGGAGCACAGGGCCTCGGGGCTCGCTGGGTCCTCGGGCGGGCTTGAGACTCACCTGCCGAGAGGAAGAACCTGCCAATCTGGACAAAGGGGGCTGTGGCCGTGAACGACTCCACTGCCATCGCACTGTGGGGGAGAAGGCGGTCAGCGGTGAGACACGAGGGTCGGGCCGGGTCTGGCCCCTCTGGGTGTGAGTGCAGGGCAGGTCCCCGACCAGGGACTCCCGAAAGTCCAGACTAGCGCAGGCATGGCAGGTGTCTTATCTCTGCCACCCCCGGGGCTCGTATACCCTCCCCGGGCAGAGCACCTCCCTGAGTCTCGTTTCTGAGTTCCACACCCTCTTGCCTGCACCGCGGACAGCCTGCCCCACCCCACACACCCG